TTGATTTTGTCGGCGTATGGACTTCACCAGGCAATGATAGAAAAAAATACAGTGATGGTTATAGCTCAATATCCTGGAGCAAATCCAAGAAAGTGTTGGAAATAGAAGGCAGAGACAGGAACCTGATAACAGCTAAGTTGTGTACAATGTTATGTAATGATTTCGATCCTGTACAGTCAAGCAAAAGCGACAACTATTGCGAATTCCCTTCCACAAGCAATGAAATGCTTGTTGAATTGGAGGACGTTAAACTCGATGTAACAATTACTGAGAAAGATATTCGTGATAACAAACATAGCATTAAAAACGTTGAAGATTGCCTTGATAAAGTAGTTGGTAAATTAAACATTATTAACCAACAGTTCGATGTATTTAGGGCAGAGTTTCAGTTGTTGAAAAACCAACATACGATTCAATATTCGCCTAAAGCTGTCGAATATTCAAATTTGGACAACCAAAACACCTCCGGATTGCAAAAACGTCATGAGGAAAACAATAACATAATAGGATCGAATCTAAATGATGACATTGTAATGAGTCGTAATGATGCATTACAATCTCTGGTAAATTTGCGGTCTGAGTGGCTTTCCAATGTTTGTTATGATACTCAATTAAAGCGTCTTGAAAGGGAACTGCATGATGAACAAGATAAAACCAAGCAACTTGAATCTGAGCTAACGGTTGCCGAAACAAAAATCTTACAACTCGAACAGACACTAAACCTACACGAGTTAGAACAAAAGAGTGAAGAAACTGACAATGGGCTTTGTCATGATCATTCCTGCATTATTATGGAGACACTTAGTACTAATTGCATTAGAAATCAACACGCGCCTTCGACTCAAGAGAATACCTGTACTAATAAATATATCACATCTAAAGAATTACCACCTATAACCCTCGAATACCACCAAAACAAGTTGATAAGCAGGAGCCTCAAAAACATGCTGGTCAAGTAAGTCAATTCCCAAAATATACGGAAATTTCGGACAAGAACAGCAACGACAATGCAAAACGACACAAACCATCACAGCGTTACCCATAGAACACCATCAAAGAAATCGACGTGGCGACGAAATAAACATGGCGCTAGAATCAACCAGACTGAGGAGGGTTTTCGCAAGGACAAATGGAAAGCCAATATGAGGTTTTTACAGTATTATTACTAGAACATGATTTTTCCCTACCAGGTCGCCCTACTTCAATTCATCGCGGACAACGTAATTTAAATAATAAAATTCAAATTAACATTAATAAAACTGTTATTTCCAATGCTAATGACTATTTCTACGTTCCGAAACTACTATTGACAAATACGATGTCATTAGCTCCCAAAATTGATGAAGTGAGTTGTTTTGTCACAGAAAAGAGTCCTGACCTTGCCTGTATAACGGAAACATGGTTAAACGACCGTATCTCAGATTCCTGCCTCGATATTCCAGCAGTGGCGTGCTGGCAGGGGGGGCCGGGGGGCCACGGCCCCCCCTGCTGGCAATTCTTGGGGGGCGCAGAAATGAAAAGGGGGCGCCGATCCCGCGCCGAATTTTGAAAGTGGGTGGGAAAAAACGCATTCGCAAAAATATAGTTACCTCCGCCAAGAAAACGACAAAGTGATATATTAAATTACAGACTATTTTGTCTATTAAGCCGTATTTGCTAAGGGCGCCGATCCCGCGCCGAATTTTGAAAGTGGGTGGGAAAAAACGCATTCGCAAAAATATAGTTACCTCCGCCAAGAAAACGACAAAGTGATATATTAAATTACAGACTATTTTGTCTATTAAGCCCTTGCTACTTCACGGCGCACACGAAATCATTTATATAGGAACATGATCAGTGATCAAACGCAATGTCTCATCACCGAAATATTGGTCAGGTTTGGAAGAGATCACGGGAATTATGCCCTTTTTTGCTGGTATTATGCCCTTATATTACGCCCTTTATTATGCTTCACGAGAGCGGCGCAAATTAGATAGTTGAAGTTATGATAACGTAAAGTTGTAATGAGTAATGTAAGTTATGAAATAATGCTGAAACGCGCTGTTTTGGCAGCCAGGCAAGGAAACCTTAAAATGCATATGCGTGGGTTGCAAATTTCGACACGTTATAATGCCGTTTCCTGACCATCAGATTTCTGTCAAATCGTCCCCCAAAGTCCAGGAAATGGCATTTCAGAGACTCTAAATTCAAAAATTTTCCTGGGGGGCATGCCCCCGGACCCCCCTAGACAAACCTCGCACCTGCGGCGCTCGGCTCGTGCCTTCGGCCCTCGTTTATCAAGCGTAACATTATAGGGGCGCAGATTGGTTGACAGCCAACTGGCCCCCCCTGAAAAATAGTACCCAGCACGCCACTGTATTCCAGGTTATAATTTTGTTCATAAAAACCGCAGTGTGGGTTCCCACGGAGGGGTTGGGGTGTACATCAGGAACACGATATTTTATAAGCCTCTGAATAATCTCCACCATACAGATTACGAAGTTCTGTGGGTCTATTTTCGTCCAAGTAGACTTCCTCGCGGGTTTTCCTGCTTGATACTTGGTGTCGTTTACCATCCACCTAATGCTAATGATGATGAAATGCTCCAATTTCTCTCCACATCACTGATTACTATTGAAAGCACCTATCCTGGCTGTGGGTTTATTCTTGCAGGCGACTTTAATCGGTTAAAATGCAATCGGATATTAACACAGTCTCCAATTTCTCTCCACATCACTGATTACTATTGAAAGCACCTATCCTGGCTGTGGGTTTATTCTTGCAGGCGACTTTAATCGGTTAAAATGCAATCGGATATTAACCCCAGTTGCAAACAGATTGTTAACGTTTCCACAAGGCCAACCAGACTTTGGATCTAATAATAACCAACTTACATTCGTTTTATGATAAGAACTCTGTCGAAAAATTTCCGCCATTTGGTCTTTCAGATCATAATGTTGTGATTGTCAATCCTTGCAAAAGAGAACCCAAGTCATGCAGTAGAAGAATTATCTCTAGGAGAGATTTACGATCTAGTAAAAGGCATGAGCTTGGAAGATACCTTACATCTATCGATTGGTCCTCTCTGAATCATTTTGACACATGCGAAATGAAACTCCAGTATTTCGAAGAGTTAGTACGTCTCGGTATTAGCACCATTATGCCAATAAAGAAAACGGCTTTGCATGTACACGATCCTCCATGGATTACTGCAGAATTTAAAGAGCTTATAAGGAAGCGTCAAGCTGCCTTCTGCAGTGGAAATACCTTTCAGTTCAAGTATTACCGGAATCGGGTTAACCGCGAGCGAAAGACATGCCGGGCGAAATTCTACTCTTCAAAAGTAAAGAATCTTAAATCGACCAAACCGAAGAGATGGTAGAAGGAGGTGAAGCAGATTGCTGGTATGGTACCTACAACCGGCTCCGATGACTTATGTAGTCAACTTCATTTAGACGATATCGAGAATATGCAACGTCCTGACATTGCGAATTTAATTAATAACGCCTTTTTGGAGCCCATGAACTCCTTCAATCCACTGTCAACCCTTCCCCCCTTTGATAATTATTCCTCTTTTCAAGTAAACGAATGGAAGTCTTTCATTTATTGAAAGCAATTAATCGTGGAAAGGCGTCAGGTCCTGACGAAATTCCCAATTGGGCTCTTAAGGAATATGCTGAAATCCTCGCACAGCCAGTATGCGCTGTGCTAAACAGCAGCTATGCCGAACAACAACTACCTAAATCTTGGAAGCTTGCCAACATTGTGCCCCTCATAAAAACTAAGCCCGTTAGCGACATTTGTAAGCAGTTACGACCAATTTCACTTACTGCCGCTATTTCGAAAATCGCCGAGGACTGTGTTGTTAAAAAATACATTGCTCCAGCTATCATGAGTATAATCGATCCAAGTCAATATGGAGTAATACCAAGAAGTTCAACTACTCTCGCTGTTATATCTATGATCCATGAATGGTCGCAAGCTACTGATGGCACTGGCTCTGCTGTCAAAGTCATCCTGTTCGATTATAGAAAAGCATTCGACCTTATCGATCATGCTTTACTGGCTGATAAAATTTCCAATTTAGCTATTCCACGTGCGGTTGCTCGCGGGACAATCGATTTTTTGATGAATCGAAAGCAGAGAGTGAAATTATCCAATGACTGTTATTCGGAGTGGGGTGACGTACTCTCCGGTATCCCTCAAGGTACAAAATTAGGGCCCTGGCTATTTTGTTTAATGATAAACGATCTTGATATTTGTGATATATCGAGGTGGAAGTTTGTTGATGACACAACAGTTGCTGAAGTAGTTAGTAAGGACACAGAGAGCCGTGTTCAAGTCGCAGTTGATGTTGTGGAAGATAGATCGGAAGGCAAATGGGCTATCTCTTAACGCTGAGAAATGTAAAGAACTGAGAATCGATTTTAAAAAAATTAAACAATATTTTGATCCTGTACTGGTGGGTGGAGAAGCATTGCCTATAGTTGAGAGTGCAAAAATATTGGGTCTTGTTATGACAGGCGCACTTCAGTGGAAAGATAACATCAGAGAGAGTATAAAGAAAGCTAATAAACGCCTCTATTTTATAGTATTATTGAAACGGGCAGGCGTAAATGTCAAAGATGTTTTGAACTTTTATTGTACAGTGATCAGGCCTGTATTCGAGTATTGTGCGCAAGCCTTCCATCATTCCATCCCAAAGTATTTGGCAGACGAACTTGAGACTGTCCAGAAACGTGTGCTAAAAATTTTATCTCCTCAAATGACATATTGTGAGGCCCTTGAGTATTATAGACTGCCTACTCTATTTCAAAGAAGAGAGGACGTGTGTGACAAACTCTTTACGAGTATCATCAAGGATCCAATGCATAAACTTCATCATCTGCTGCCCCCGAAGAACGAGACTGATTATTCTTTCAGGACGAATCGGTATTTTAATATGTACGTTACACGCACGAACCGCTTTTATAACTCTTTTATCCCTGCTATGTGTAGGAAGTTTGTAGGATGCTTATTTTAATCGAATTTCGATCGTGGGTGGGTTTTATAATATTGTATTAATAATATATTTATATGTAGTGCATGTGATAATATGTATTCCACGCAATTCAGCTTCTGGCTGCAATGTGGTTTCAATTTAATAATAATAATAATAATAATAATAATATATATATATATATACCTTTTGTGGGGTGATATATCACACTCCAACAAATTGCCACTCATTCCCTCATGATGTTGATCTACTTCCATAGAGTCAGAGTCTGAGATATTTTGTCCTTTGTTAACAACTGGAGATACTAGGGGCAAAATCATGCCCCAGCTTACATGGGGGTAGAGGTTTCCACGTCGCCTAAATAAATCAATCGCGATTTATTAATTTATTTTGGACCCCATGGCATCACACGTTGAATACTGTAAAATATTTATGTAAATTTTTACTGTGCTTGCCTTGCATATTTGACACCATATTTGCGTTCGCGTTCTCTGCTTGCATTCTATCTTTTCGTTGCTTCGAAACATCAACATCTGACCTAAAGGGTATGCGAATCATATTCTCTATAAAAGGTCCAAAACTACTGAAGCAAAATAAAAGATAATGAAACTCTACACACCTTCTGCGGTATTCTAATGACAACAAATGAGCAGCAAATTCACTCTCAGTACTAGAACCGTATCCAGCCTCATTTTTCGCGTCCTTCCACGATTTAAAAATCGTCAACGACAAATAAATTTGTTTATGTTGACAATTCCAAACTAATTGTGCGCTGTTAGAACGTTCGTATTTTCTCTTTCTGCCTGAATTCCTTCGCTTTCCCCCGTGCGTCGCACCAGGTGCGGCCGCCATCTTGGATTTAAAAACTTGAAAAAATACAAGTGTAGAATTTCAAGTTTGCGATGCGCAGCAGGGATGCGCACAACGTGATACTGCTCCTTTAACTCCTGTTACACAACAGAGCGAATGTCCGCAATGTTTACATTTTGTACCACGTGACACCCTTGGAATTTACACGTGCGTTTTACCGCCGAAGTGGTGGATTGAACACATTTAGAAAATGCGGTCTAGACCCAATTAGTAGAGAGCTTTAGATTTGACTACGAGTACGAGATTTGATCGCGTGCGAGGAAATTACCGTAGTCGTTTTCGTTTCCATTCAAATGTTGCTTTTATAACAGGAAACCAACAACGAGAGAAAAAGTTTCAAAAACTAAATCTCCTGCAGACTAAAATCCCCTACAAAACGTGTAAATAAGTCATAACATTAAAAACAGACCAGATATTTAGTACTAATATATTATTTGCGACGGATAAACGCTATATAAATGCTACAAATTATTTTTGGAAAACAAAAAAAAAGCCAACTTTCTTTGTTTTTTTTGAAAAGTCGTCGTGAGGACTACGAGAGTTCTCCACAATTTCGTTCTCAGATGGGCGACGGCTACGACTTTTTCGCGTCAGTACGGAATGGCGTAAGCATACAGCATGCGTTTAGCTTGACGAATCTCGTAGTCGTACTCGTAGTCAAATCCCTAGTAAAAGGTGGACTGAACTCAATTAGTAAAGTGCAGACTGGACATAATTAGTAAAGTGCAGACTGCGCTTAACTGATTGAGTTCAATATACGTTTTACCAATCATTTTGATTGAGTCCAGTCCTCGTTTTGACTGATTCAGTTAAGTCCGCGATTTTGCCGATTAGGTCCTGTCCACGTTTCACTAACCGCTGAGTTGGGTCTGCATTTTACTAATTGATTCTTCGCGGAGTGGAGATAATAGATAGTTTAAGATCTACGACGTCGACGTCAGCTAGGACGTCAGGGCTGATCAGAGGACTGGGAATAGGACATCGTCCTAAATAAGTCGATAGCTAAGAATCACTACGACGTCAAATATTTAGGGCGGCAAGTAAATTAGTAATAGTTTTTGAGGTGTGCACGTGTCTCCCTCAATTTGCCCGTCGTCCATCAAATGTCGACAGCGTCACAACAAGAGTTTTACCGTCGTGGATACAAAAGCATAACAAACGTACGGTAGTGGATTCACACGTCTCTTTTAATTTCATTTTCAAAAGAATGTAAATATTTATAGTTTAAATGTCTACGTCGTGAATCCTAAGTGGAAGTTTAATTATTTAGGACGACGTCCTAGTCTCAGTCCTCTGCTTAGCCCTGACGTCCTAGCTGACGTCGACGTCGTAGATCTTAAGCTATCTAATTAGTATAAACGAGAACTGCTCTCAATTAACAAAAGGAAGACTGGACTCAGTTTGTAAAAGCTGACGACTAGACCAGATTCGTCTATAGTAAAACAAGCTTTCCACAGCTCGAAAGAACTATACATGAACGGCAAAAAATCGTTTTACTCTAACATTGTTAAAACACTTAAAGCCCATTATCCCACACTTGAGGAACCAATAGATTTAGGGAATTTTATCGAAAATGAGAAAATAAATTTAATACTAGACAACATAAAAAACAACTATATTTCACATTGGAACCAACAAATAACCAATTCCACAAAACTATCATTTTACTGTAAATTTAAAAAAAAATATGAATTGGAACAATATCTAACTACCATAAAAAATCCATCCCAGAGACGGATGTTCACAAAATTCCGAATTAGTAATCACAAATTATTGATCGAATATGGCCGTTACCAAAATATACCTCGTGATGAAAGATATTGTAAAACCTGCGGCACTGGTGCGGTTGAAGACGAATTTCACTTTGCATTCGAGTGTCCAAGTTATAGTAGCATTAGGAACAATGCAAACAATATATTAAAAAATATTTTTCAGATGAACATTACAACGGATTCAAAACAAAACTTATTGACGCATGCGATGTCATGCGATGATTTAGTTATAATTGAGCTATTTTCTAGCTTTATTTCAAAATGTTTCTGCCTTAGAGACAGATGCCTTAAATCTGGGGACACCCTTTAATTACTATAACATATATACTCTTTTGTTTATACTATATATTGTATATTTTTGAGAAACTTTAATATGAACTACACCGTAGTCATAACATTTGTTCTTGTTATAATAGGATAGTCAGTGCTCTTAATAGCACTTCTATACTTAATACTTTAGCAATACCTGTACAGGTCATGCCAATAAAGTTGTTAATAATAATAATAATAATAATACAGACTCAATTCTGAAGCGAAGTCTGGATTCAATTAGGAAAAGCGGACTCAACTCATGCTCAATGGGTAAAACATGGACGGTGCTCAGTTATAGTTAAAACATTATACTAATAGTGCGCATGCATTTATCATTTCCATTGGGTCCGAATTTTGCTAATTGATTGCAATGCACGCTTTACCAAAGGCATATTTACACGATACGACCAGACAGCCGTGTATATACGCGATTGTCATTCTGGGGAGTAAAAGCGAGTTAATTAAACGAGTACTGACGCCACTCTCAATCTTCATCAGTTCGTGGCAAATGAACGACTAGTCGTATCGTACGTGTAGATGGGCTTTAATTTAACACATTTTAGTCCATTTTGTCACAAAATATGCTATGCAATTCGCCGCTGGAATGTTTCTTTGCTTGAAACGAATCGAAAGTAATTGATTGATTGATTAGCACAATATTGCCGCCGGGAGAAGTTTGAAGCCGTACTATCTTACTTGATGCCGTTAGTTTTTGCGCTAAAGAATCATATTGCCGCAATTTTACTTGATTTGGTTTCCTTGAACTGACCTAATGCACCCGGTGAGAAAGACTTCAAATTGGGTTGATCTGCCTTGCCCGTCTCTTTTAAAATATTGTTATTTTTCACCAAACTGGACAATAAATATCTAACAATGAGAAAAACATGTATTTTCCATACCGCTTCAAAACCACGAAACAACTTCCATTCCCCCTTCTTTGGAGTATTTTTATTTTTGCTTTTAGTGACGTTAGTAAGCTGGCAGTTATCATCATTCAAACTTGCTTTGACGTTGAATCCAACACATTTGGCGTCAATTTTACAAAGTGAAAAGCACTTTATTGCGGCGACGTCGGCCGAACCGCCAACACTATGACTTGACAAGATTTCGTCTGGAGGTAAAGGTGGACCTCCTGTGTTAAATACAAGAAAATATTGAGAAATTTAATATGTTGGCGCAACTATATGGTGAACGAGGGACGCACAAAAACAAACATTACCAGAAATATGGGACATTTTGCTCCCGCTTTTGTAGTCAGCGGCTAAGTCCGTTTTATATGCCCAACATTGCCTAATATAAGTAATTTGACTTCGCATTTTACTTTGAATCTCCAGTTCAAGTATTATTCAACCAAAAACTGTGATTTTAAACCATATTTTGCAGTTTTTGCTGATCACTTCCGGTATTTTGACCTTTAACCCCGCAAATTTTTATCAAGACTAAAAATATTGCAAATATCCTAAAAAATCCTAAAATATCCCTGTGTTTTTACGTGAGAGCCTGGGATCTAGTCCTTCAAAATAAACAAGAAACATGGCTGCTCGAAACAGCTCAAATTTGTATTAAAACTTGTCGTTTTTGGATATTAAGATGGCTTAATGGCGACATACAAGAACCGTAAAAAGGCGAACTTTTAAACGTTTCGGGAACCAGTTTCCCTGGAAATTACAGCGGATTTATTTAGCTAAATTAACAGTTTGGACATCATTAAATATATCGCGAGCTCCGCACTTTGCATCGTCCGAATGGATGTTGGTCTATTCGTCGGATATTTACCTCTTGTGTCACAAGTTTACTATAAATTACACTATGAAATTCATCGAATTGCGTGTAAAAATACAACATTCTCAGGAACCTGCTAGACGCGGTGCAATACTAGCGATTTTTGTTTAGAAATATTGCTTGTTCGTGTCGCTACTATAATCGAGCTCCGCAACCATGAAATATTTAAACAAAGTATATTAAAATTTGATATTTTGATCAACTCCCATATAGTTTATAGTAATATTTGGTCGCCATATTTGGTCAAAGTGCGCATGTCCGTCGCCATCTTGTCCCATATTTCTGGTAATGAAACAGTGGATGACTGACCTTCGTAAACGTGCTCATAAGCTCTTTTGACACATTCATTGGCTTTAAACTTTGCAATGATGGCCATTAGTAAGGTTAGAGTGATCCATTTAAGACATGGTCTTAGTCCCCAACAATGCATGATGATTGTTGTGAGATTGCCACACAGTAACTGAGTTAGTTTAGTGAAAAGTTATCATTTAAAATATCATGAATACAGCAGGTGGATAAAATCATACGCGTCTGCAGTTGAAATACTTTGACAGGATTATAGTTTTATTAAAATTTTTACTGTCAACATAAGTATAGGCTGTACTTGTATTTTTTATTTATGTACACTACCCATTCTTTCCATTCTTGCAAAAACACTGCAGTTCACTGTAACATGAAACATTGAATAAAATATAACAACTGGACACATTGCATGTAATAAACCTTTTCATTTAGTGGAACCTTATACACCGTACAGCTTTCATTATTTTTCTGGTCATGCTGTGAAATTTAATTTTTGGCCATGGCACTCTATAACTAATATAAGTGTTTGCATTGACGAATGCGCGATATAATATTATTTTCAACTTCAAACGTAAGCGCTTTTTTGTTTTGCTTTTCTATTATATTCTATAGCACTGTCGGAAAGGAAATTTCTAGAATTTCCATTTTCGTAGTAACTGTTGTATAGCTTTCGTTTCTGGTCTAAATTCTCATTTCCCTGGTGTCTTGTAAGTCGAATAATATTTGTACATGTTTATTGTCTAGAAATCATTATTACATAGGTTAAAGTGCACAACACATGAATATTTTTCCGCAGTTTTTATCTATCGCTTGAAACTATCTTCAAAATGATGAAGAATGCATGGCCAAGTAACAATATCCAAAGCTCGTCTCATTCCTAAATTATTGGGATTTTGTATTTTTATGTTATGACGTTACTAGTTGTACTTAGATGACAGCAAAAAGAAGGAAGTTTAATACCTTGGAAGCGATTCAACAAAATATGAATTTAAATTTGGTACAGATAATAAATGCACCTAAGCAAACAATTTGGAGCGTTTATGAGGTTGTGATAGCAACACACTATTTACCAGGTCTGTCTTCATATTTTAGTAATATCAGCTGCCGTATACGCGTATAATTTAGACAATTTAGAAGGACGATTTGTAGAATCTATATTCAGTATTCACCATAAATAATGACATAAATGTACCAAATTTCTGCACCAAATTCGATTCCATGCAATTTCATTTGTAGAATTCTTAGCTTAAGGGAGCATTTATTATAACGCGCGAAAGCGGACAAAATTACATTTCTGAAATATATATGACATCAATATCAAATATAAAACAACAATACCGATATAGTAGGAATTGCCGTATTAAGGGAGCATTTATTATAACGCGCGAAAGCGGACAAAATTACATTTCTGAAATATATATGACATCAATATCAAATATAAAACAACAATACCGATATAGTAGGAATTGCCGTATATATATATATATATATATATATATATATATGTGTGTGCTAATTCTTTAATATAAAACATGTTCTTAAATATATATATCATCGTTTTTAAATATAAACAATGTTGCCGATTATTTAACGTCTTCTCTCATATATATAAACAGTATATTGGAATATATAAATCACATCACATATATAAACAATGTTCCCATACCGTTCTCACCTCGCATGCCAAATATATAAAGGGTGGTTACAAAGCGTTCACTCTAAAAAAAGGTGTGTTAATTTAACACACCTTTTTGTCCAAATTTTAACACACCTTAAGGTGGGTTTTAAAACACACCTTAAGGTGTGTTTAACACAGCTTTTGGCGTGTTTTGTAACACAGCTTAAGGTGTGTTGTTCACTCTAAAAAAAGGTGTGTTAATTTAACACACCTTTTTGTCCAAATTGTCAACACACCTTAAGGTGGGTTTTAAAACACACCTTAAGGTGTGTTTAAAACACACCTTAAGGTGTGTTTAACACACCTTAAGGTGTGTTTCGGCTTGTCCAGATTTTAACACGCCTTAAGGTGTGTTGTATAAAGGTGTGTTTTTGAACACACCATGGTGTGTTAAACACACCTTAAGGTGTGTTCTAAAACCCACCTTAAGGTGTGTTTTCGGCTTGTCCAGATTTTAACACGCCTTAAGGTGTGTTTTGTATAAAGGTTGTGTTTTTGAACACACCATGGCGTGTTTTCGTACACACCATGGCGTGTTTTCATAAAACACACCTAAAGCTGTGCTGTATAACACACCATTCAGGTCTGTAATGTTTACAGCACGTTGTAAGGTGTGTTTCATAACACACTAAGGTGTGTTACATAACACACCTACAAAAGATGCTATAATAACACAGCAAACCTAAGGAGGTGTATTAGAAAACACATCTACATATTCTTATTAAAAGTAAAATGACTTAGAGACATGCTCATTTGCACAGAGTTTATCCATGACAAAATATTTATTTGACACTGAATAAATTACATTTTACATAGTTGACTATGTACTTTTACTATACTTTTACTAAACCTAACTGTAACAGACAACTTCTCATTCTGATGCAGTGTTCTGGCAATTAGAGTAATGGAGTACTATATTAATTGTCTCGTACTTTACAGCCATGCAATTGTCAAAATATTGCAAGCCCACATCTTCCACAATCAGAATACCTGTCATATGAAACACTGTAACTGATAACTTGCATCCAATCATTCCATCTTTGTATCATTTTCTTTATCGCTCGGTGAACCACAACCTTTGAATCACATAGCCAAGTTTAACCATATTTACAGGTAGTCGTATCAATCCAACATACAAGCCTGTGTCAAGATAAGTAAAAAAATAATATACAATGGGACAATGTAACAGCTTAAGTTTATATATAACATATGTAATTAAGTCATTTAACCCACTAGCACGCAGGACTCTCTTCTTGATGACTAAAATTGTCCGGCGTTTGACAGAGTAAAATAACAAAGGCGGGTCCATTTGGGTGCATTTCGGCCTAATGGGTTATCAAGGCACATTGGCAGATAGTTTGGATAACCATTAGTGAGCAGGACACTGCTCTTGAGGAGTAAAATTGTCTGGCATTTCACAAAGTAAAATGTCTGGTGTTAGTTAAGTGCAACATAACAAAGTAGGGTGCACTTGGGCACATTGCTGCTCAAAGGGTTAACAATAAAAGGGTGCATATATTAGCTAAGTATATTGAATATCAATATACAGTCATTTAACAAGTTAATTTGTTTGGCATTTCAAGACATAGGATGCAATGGACTGATACTGTATCTGGCGGATATTAAGATTTTAATTCATTATCTGGTATCCGGCTACCCAATGCCGGATATTATTCATATAGGGTTCAGGCCTTCTTTTCAGGTTAGAAAATGATTTGATAAGGTTATCATATCATGATTATTGAAGTAAAAATATGATAAATATGATCAGTATTTTCAATGCTTGTTTGTACAGTAAATGGGGATTTGAACTTTTAACTGATGTAAACAAGGCTTTTGTTACCAGTGATGCATGTTTGCTACCAACGATGCAGGTTTGCTACCAATGATGCAGGTTTACTAGTTTTAGACTGTTTACTTTTTAACCAAATAAAATTATTACCAGTACTTAACCTTAAATGATGCCTGAACCTTATATAATTATTTGAATAATACCCTTAATCGGGCTGGATATTTTTCAGCCATCCAGCATATCCTTAGCCTGCTCGCAGGCCGTTGTCAGGCAGAGGCTGCATGGGAGGAACGGCCTGCGACCTTTATTAGTAAAAAGTCGATTTATGCGTACGGAGCGTACGCAAAATTCCCATTGGTCAGAAGTGCCCCATGAGTTAATATCGTGCAAATATTTAACTCGTACGACATTTCGCAATGTAATTTTAAAGCTGGCATTCAATCAGTGGCGTATAAAACCATGACTTTGTTTATCTCTTCGAAGAAGTAACCAAATCTATTTGAGAAACCTTTCAATTTAAATTAATGTTGAAGGATGAGCGAAGGTTAGCAATATTAACTGTACTTCCAACGGGATTTGATAAAAGTTTACATGTAATATACCGATACTTTGTCTTCGTCAGCTATAATAATAAACCTTTTCCAAAGAAGTACAAGGGAAAACTTCGACGTATGCCTTGCTGATCTTTGCAGAGAGAGTAAAATAAGTCTAGTTCAGGCTGACAATTTATCTAACCGCGTTTGCATCACTTGCGGTTTCAAACGTTGAACAACTTAAGGTTAGCCCAGCGAGACGTTCGTTGAGACACAGGCAGTGAATCAGCTAGTATAAAGCAGTTGATTGTCAAATGCCTCCGAACATTTCTCCCAAATACTTCCCTGTCAACCCAAGGCTTTCTGCCTAAACAATCTGGTCTTGAATAAGTCAAGACAATGGGCAAATTATTAAAACAGACGCCGTCGAGGAAAGTCGTTCTTAGAACACCTGGCCAATTTGAATTTACACCTGGAAATTTTGCAATAGTCGTTTGCGTGTTTTTTGACCGAAGTCCGCTCTCTCTTTGAGACTTTATTTTTGAGAGTCTCAACTAGTGACATATATTATTACAACAAGAGCTTTTTACAAAAAAATGTAGTTATTAAACACGGCAGAATCGATGCCACGGGTTTTCAAATTGTCTATTGTCTATTGAGTTAATTGTATTATTGAGCAAATGACAGACTTCACGCAATAATGATTAATGTTGTTTTTTAGCCTGCTATTGTTCGACACTTTTAATAAATAGTGTTTGTTACTTTGTTCAAAACCTAAATACGTTTCCTTAAATCTTACAATTATATTTTGGATATAAATATATAAAATACATTAACTAATAGAGAGTAAAATTTTACGTCTCTGTAGTATAGTTACATAATTTAAAACGGCAATGTACGAACAAGACAGCAATATACAAACGGGACTATGTTTTAAATATTAGAATACTTTAGGGAAAAAACGACCATGAATTATTTTAGATTAAAGTTTAGACCTTGGAATCCTGGTGAAAGATACAGGCGTAAAATTGCGCGAGAAACTGTTTGTTGTTGTTAATAACCTCTGGTAATCTAATTGACAAAACTTGCTTTGATTGGCTACTATTTACCGGATATTCAATTATCTCAAAGGGGGCGTATTGAAAAAATATCAATAAAAGTCGCAGGCTCTATATAATAGAGCCTGTGAGCAGGCTAGCATATCCTGTATCTGGCTGGATAGCAGAAATACTCTGTCCTGCACACCCCTAGAAAGAACCGAAAGTAGGCAACATTTAAGAGGAAATTGTTTCTTCGGTGTTAATAGGTGAAATGAGTCCATGCAGTCGATAAGTAAAATTGTCTAGCATGAGACGTCACAGTTCAATATTAAAGGACTTAAAGTAGGGAGTGTTAGGAAAAATTGCATCTAAATATGTCAACATGAAACATGGGCAAAATCTAGCTACACACAAATTAACTTGTCCGGCATTAGGAAAGGTGACATAATTTAAGAAAGTGCTGAAAACTGGGTTAATTGGAGTGAATTGGGTTGTTACATATATTACTAAGCAGATCATGTGGGTGGTGTAGCTAGCTAAATGTATTTATGAGTTTGAACAAACAAACAAACTAAGGACTTTAACTGTTTTGGACAATTAGGGAGATGTCCATATTCAAGTTGCCACACAAAACATCAAATTGACATTTTTATCTAAGCCGATCTATCCATCCTTGAAAACTTTGAGCATGACATACAAAGAAACTTGGAATTTAACCCCCCCCCCCATTCCATTGATGTCTTAATTAGTACATCTTACTATTATCAGTCTCAGAAGATTCTACTCTTAGACTCCCTCCCCCTCTGGATGACTAAAATGTCCTTTGCATCTAAAAGGGTTACAGTAAATATCAAATGTGACCCTCTGATGTTAGACATAGTAAAATCATGAAGTACTGAAAGCAGTCTGGCTTTTATCTTAATAATGTGTTAACACAAAATGTGGGCAGACAATCTAGTTTCAATGAAAGGTTAAAACCTTTTAAGTCCAACACACTCCCCATTGACAAACAAAATCACCATGCAGGGGTTGATTGTTCGAAAGCCGATAAGTTAACCTTAGATTAAGCAAACTTCCTAACAGTTTGTTTATAAATTTGGAAATATTTCTTTAGACATCTTGTCTGGATCAGTACCATTGATAGGAGTTTTCTTTTCATAATTTTAAAACAAAAAGATACTGTATGTAGAAATACATAAATTTTAACTACGGGTTAGGGTTAATCCAGCTATGCAGGCCTTAAAATATCGGTCGGTCATGGACATTGTCCGACCCATTAGTGAAATTGTCCGACGTAGAGAGGAAACCACCAGACATTCTGTCCGACCAAAGTGAAATTGAGGTTTATTGTTTGTCCGACCTGAGTGTATTGGTGTCCGACAGAACTGTAGCTTTGTCCAACGTAAATCAAAATGTACCCTATCCCAGGACTAGAGGCTCGTATGTTAAATGGAAAATCAGAGTACTATAGACCTTATTCATAAATCGTGATGAGGCCTCTATCCTAGGAAACGGGGAAACCCGGGGAAGCTCTGCAGCTTAATGGGTTAAATTAGGGTATGTAAGTGCTAATGGTTACTGAGACATGCACACACAGTCTGTTAATCCATCACAACATCACATCTTAATGGGTTCATGGAATACCGTAAATCTCGGACTATAAACCCTGGGCTATATATTTGGTGGGCTTATACAAAGGGGGGGGGGTTACAGTATATAGGAGGGATAGAGCTTATACATGGACATTCAATCTTTTGTGTTAGTATAATAAACAAGTCAGTCATAAACAGGAAAATAAACACATAGTAATAAGGCACTTTGATTAATTAACGACGTTTTGTTGTTGACTTAAGCTATAAAGACAATGTTTTTAAATATTGTTCTCTGATATATTAACCCATTGAGCCACAACGCGCCCCAGTGCGCTCTACTTTTTTTTCACTTGTCTAACGCGAAACAATTTTGCTCGTCAATGGGGAAACTCTGCAGCTTAATGGGTTGACCAAAAAATTTGACAATGTCTCTGGTAAACCCATCAAGCCGCAATGCGCCCCAGTGTGCCTTACCTATTTTTTTACTTGTCTTATGCCAGACAATTTTACTTGTTAATGGGGAAGCTCCACAGCTTAATGGGTTAATTAAAAGACAATGTCAATGTTGAATAACATAGTGAGCTACT